GAAGGTAGAGAGGAGGGAGTGGAAGGATGGCTTTAGCAGCAGATACAGAGGAAGAGGAGGTAGAGAGGAGGGAGTGGAAGGCTGGCTTTAGCAGCAGATACAGAGGAAGAGAAGGTAGAGAGGAGGGAGTGGAAGGATGGCTTTAGCAGCAGATACAGAGGAAGAGAAGGTAGAGAGGAGGGAGTGGAAGGATGGCTTTAGCAGCAGATACAGAGGAAGAGGAGGTAGAGAGGAGGGAGTGGAAGGCTGGCTTTAGCAGCAGATACAGAGGAAGAGAAGGTAGAGAGGAGGGAGTGGAAGGATGGATTTAGCAGCAGATACAGAGGAAGAGGAGGTAGAGAGGAGGGAGTGGAAGGATGGCTTTAGCAGCAGATACAGAGGAAGAGGAGGTAGAGAGGAGGGAGTGGAAGGCTGGCTTTAGCAGCAGATACAGAGGAAGAGAAGGTAGAGAGGAGGGAGTGGAAGGATGGCTTTAGCAGCAGATACAGAGGAAGAGAAGGTAGAGAGGAGGGAGTGGAAGGATGGCTTTAGCAGCAGATACAGAGGAAGAGGCGGTAGAGAGGAGGGAGTGGAAGGATGGCTTTAGCAGCAGATACAGAGGAAGAGGAGGTAGAGAGGAGGGAGTGGAAGGATGGCTTTAGCAGCAGATACAGAGGAAGAGAAGGTAGAGAGGAGGGAGTGGAAGGATGGCTTTAGCAGCAGATACAGAGGAAGAGGAGGTAGAGAGGAGGGAGTGGAAGGATGGCTTTAGCAGCAGATACAGAGGAAGAGAAGGTAGAGAGGAGGGAGTGGAATGATGGCTTTAGCAGCAGATACAGAGGAAGAGAAGGTAGAGAGGGAGTGGAAGGATGGCTTTAGCAGCAGATACAGAGGAAGAGAAGGTAGAGAGGAGGGAGTGGAAGGATGGCTTTAGCAGCAGATACAGAGGAAGAGGAGGTAGAGAGGAGGGAGTGGAAGGATGGCTTTAGCAGCAGATACAGAGGAAGAGGAGGTAGAGAGGAGGGAGTGGAAGGATGGCTTTAGCAGCAGATACAGAGGAAGAGGAGGTAGAGAGGAGGGAGTGGAAGGATGGCTTTAGCAGCAGATACAGAGGAAGAGAAGGTAGAGAGGAGGGAGTGGAATGATGGCTTTAGCAGCAGATACAGAGGAAGAGAAGGTAGAGAGGGAGTGGAAGGATGGCTTTAGCAGCAGATACAGAGGAAGAGAAGGTAGAGAGGAGGGAGTGGAAGGATGGCTTTAGCAGCAGATACAGAGGAAGAGGAGGTAGAGAGGAGAGAGTGGAAGGATGGCTTTAGCAGCAGATACAGAGGAAGAGAAGATATAGAGGGAGTGGAAGGATGGCTTTAGCAGCAGATACAGAGGAATATAAGGTAGAGAGGAGGGAGTGGAAGGATGGCTTTAGCAGCAGATACAGAGGAAGAGAAGGTATAGAGGGAGTGGAAGGATGGCTTTAGCAGCAGATACAGAGGAAGAGGAGGTAGAGAGGAGGGAGTGGAAGGATGGCTTTAGCAGCAGATACAGAGGAAGAGAAGGTAGAGAGGAGGGAGTGGAAGGCTGGCTTTAGCAGCAGATACAGAGGAAGAGAAGGTAGAGAGGAGGGAGTGGAAGGATGGCTTTAGCAGCAGATACAGAGGAAGAGAAGGTAGAGAGGAGGGAGTGGAAGGCTGGCTTTAGCAGCAGATACAGAGGAAGAGAAGGTAGAGAGGAGGGAGTGGAAGGATAATAACATATATAAGGTCCTTGGACCTTAAGGAGTAACGGTAACGTTAGGCTCCTTAAGAATGCATATTGGGCTAGCTGAGCCTGTGGATATCATGTAGCTAGCTGAGCCTGTGAATATCATGTAGCTAGCTGAGCCTGTGAATATCATGTAGCTAGCTGAGCCTGTGAATATCATGTAGCTAGTTGAGCCTGTGAATATCATGTAGCTAGCTGAGCCTGTGAATATCATGTAGCTAGTTGAGCCTGTGAATATCATGTAGCTAGCTGAGCCTGTGAATATCATGTAGCTAGCTGAGCCTGTGAATATCATGTAGCTAGCTGAGCCTGTGAATATCATGTAGCTAGCTGAGCCTGTGAATACCATGTAGCTAGCTGAGCCTGTGGATTTCATGTAGCTAGCTGAGCCTGTGGATATCATGTAGCTAGCTGAGCCTGTGGATATCATGTAGCTAGCTGAGCCTGTGAATATCATGTAGCTAGCTGAGCCTGTGAATATCATGTAGCTAGCTGAGCCTGTGAATATCATGTAGCTAGTTGAGCCTGTGAATATCATGTAGCTAGCTGAGCCTGTGAATATCATGTAGCTAGTTGAGCCTGTGAATATCATGTAGCTAGCTGAGCCTGTGAATATCATGTAGCTAGCTGAGCCTGTGAATACCATGTAGCTAGCTGAGCCTGTGAATACCATGTAACTAGCTGAGCCTGTGAATATCATGTAGCTAGCTGAGCCTGTGAATATCATGTAGCTAGCTGAGCCTGTGAATACCATGTAGCTAGCTGAGCCTGTGAATATCATGTAGCTAGCTGGGCTTGTGAATATCATGTAGCTAGCTGAGCCTGTGAATATCATGTAGGGTGCCTGTGAATATCATGTAGGGAAGCTGTTAATATCATGCAGGTAGCTGTGGATACCATGTAGGGTAGCTGTGAATATCATGTAGCTAGTTGTGAATACCATGTAGAGTAGCTATGAATAGCATGTATCTAGCTGTGAATATCATGTAGGTAGCTGAGCCTGTGAATACCATGTAAGGTAGCTGTTAATATCATGTATCTAGCTGTGAATATCATGTAGGGTAGCTGTGAATACCATGTAGGGCAGCTGTGAATATCATGTATCTAGCTGTGAATATCATGTAGGTAGCTGAGCCTGTAAATACCATGTAAGGTAGCTGTGAATATCATGTAGGGTAGCTGTGAATACCATGTAGGGTAGTTGTGAACATTATGTAGGTCGTTGTGAATATCATGTAGGTCGCTGTGAATACCATCTGGGGTAGCTGTGAGTACCATGTAGGGTAGCTGTGAATACCATGTAGGCCAGCTGTGAATACCATGTAGCTAGTTGTGAATACCATGTAGTGTAGCTTTGAATATCATGTAGGGAACAGTTTTTTATTTTTATTTTTTATTACACTTTATTTAACCAAGTAAGCCAGTTGAGAACAAGTTCTCATTTACAACTGCGACCTGGCCAAGATAAAGCAAAGCAGTGCGATAAAAACAACAACACAGAGTTACATATGGGGTAAAACAAAACATAAAGTCAAAAATACAACAGAAAATATATGTGTGTGCAAATGTAGCAAGTTATGGAGGTAAGGCAATAAATAGGCCATAGTGCAATATAATTACAATTAGTATTAACACTGGAATGATAGATGTGCAAGAGATAATGTGCAAATAGAGATACTGGGGTGCAAATTAGCAAAATAAATAACAATATGGGGATGAGGTAGTTGGGTGGGCTAATTTCAGATGGGCTGTGTACAGGTGCAGTGATCGGTAAGGTGCTCTGACAACTGATGCTTAAAGTTAGTGAGGGAGATAAGAGTCTCCAGCTTCAGAGATTTTTGCAGTTCGTTCCAGTAGCTGTGAATACCATGTAGGGTTGCTAGCTAAGTAAATGTGTTTAGCCCCAGATCAGTGCATGAGGAGTGAAGGAAGCCAACTAGCTCCTAGGAATTAGATGCACCCAGTCATACATAGTGGTCCTAGCTAGCTAATGCACTTTGACCAAAACACGAATTATTCATTCAGGCTATTTGACGGCTGTTTCGAAGTCGAAATGGCCCTGCCACAACGGCTACATGATTAAATCTCACAAGCCAGGCTATGAGCGGTTGGGAAGCGCTGTGCTTGTAGCTAACGTTAGTGTTAACATATAGACTAATATGTTATAAATTGTGTTCTTACACTGGTACAGTTATGCCCTATGAGAGATGTACAACTGCGCATGTGCGAAAATAAAGAATGGGCATTTTCCCGCGTTCTGGTTGAAACACCAACGATGAACATGTGTGTTTATTCCTCCGTTAAGTAAGCCGGTATTCCTGTCCTGAAGATGACAGCACCAACAGTTAACCATAGCACAGAATGCTAACTAGCTAGCACGTCAGCTTACTGGCGACCTCAAACAAATACATCTAAACATCTCATTATTTGCAGGTCAGGGGTGTTCGTATAGCCTTTCCCCTGAATTGTAGGTTTTATTTTTGGTTACCTACTTCCGGTTTTTGGTCCGGGCACCTCGGGGAGACCAGGACAGGATTCCGGAAGGAGAAGAGTATTTGGTCCGGTTGTCACTAGTTACCACAGCCACAAAGTCAAATCCCACCTATTTCTATAATGTATCTTCTTTAAATTGTAAACCTAACGTTAACCCCACACTGCTAACCTTATACCTAACCTTAAATTAAGACCAAAAAGCACATTTTTGTTTTAATGAATTTTTACGATAGACAATTTTGACTCTGTGGCTGTGGTAACTAGTGACGACCCTTTGGTCCCCCCTTCTGAGACGTCGCGGTTGCTAGATATGGAAGGAAACAGGGAAGTTGTATAGTCGCTTTGGTTCAAAACTTAAGGTGTCCTACAAACTAAAGCCGGTCTCCAAAATGCCAAAGGATATCACAAAATAAAAAATGAAATGTCTCTATGATTTTGTATCTGGCTACCCGGAGGATTGTCAACACAAGTATAATGATTGTCCATCCATCGTCAGTCATCCGAATAGAATCATTTCCGATATAAATGTCGGGGAAAAAGTACTTTTACAAATCACGTATTTGCTAAATAATAAACGTTGTATTTGCACGATTCTGTGTTAATTTACTAATAACTAGAATTTGTTTTATGAAGATGGGGAGGTTTATTTTGTCGGCGACAAAGGGGGAGGAATGTTGTCGACGCACAACGTCTACAGCTAGCCAGCTAACCAGAGACTTGAGCTAGCTAACTAACTAGCAAACATAGTCTTGTTTTGAACTTTTGACGTAATGGGGGAAAAACCGTTGAAGATGTAAGTCACAGTTATGATAATTCATAGTAATTTATTAGCTTCCCCTAACTTGGTAGTAACGGTCAAAATTATAGCCTAATAAAACTAGTTAACAGTGAGAGTCAACCACTACAAGCCGTGTAGCTAACTAACTTAGATGGCTACGATTGTCTCGATGGTCAAGTTGTCCAATTTCATGAGAAAGTACAGTTGCTTGTTTGAATAAATTCTGCACGTAACTAGCTAGCTACGATTTCAATACTGTTTAATCTATTCTAGCCTTGCATGTGGTGACGTAGAGGGAAGCATTAATGCTGTGTTTAACCGCGTTCGGACCATCCAGAAGAAGAGCGGCCAGTTTGATGTAAATCCTAACCACACATACACACACATACACACACACACACACACACATACATACATACATATCCCATCAGTAGGTAATCTCCTGTTCTCTCTGCAGCTGTTGCTGTGTGTAGGAAACTTCTTCGGTTTGTCTCCAGAAGCTCAGGCTGAATGGCAGGAGTACAAATCTGGAGCAAAGAAAGGTAACCTATTGTGGTTCTGAAATTAGGAACGACATTGATGGTCTGGAGTTAGGAACGACATTGTGGGTCTGGAGTTAGGAACGACATTGTGGGTCTGGAGTTAGGAACCACATTGTGGGTCTGGAGTTAGGAACGACATTGTGGGTCTGGAGCTAGGAACCACATTGTGGGTCTGGAGCTAGGAACCACATTGTGGGTCTGGAGTTAGGAACGACATTGTGGGTCTGGAGTTAGGAACCACATTGTGGGTCTGGAGTTAGGAACCACATTGTGGGTCTGGAGTTAGGAACGACATTGTGGGTCTGGAGTTAGGAACGACATTGTGGGTCTGGAGTTAGGAACGACATTGTGGGTCTGGAGTTAGAAACCACATTGTGGGTCTGGAGTTAGGAACGACATTGTGGGTCTGGAGTTAGGAACCACATTGTGGGTCTGGAGTTAGGAACGACATTGTGGGTCTGGAGCTAGGAACCACATTGTGGGTCTGGAGCTAGGAACCACATTGTGGGTCTGGAGTTAGGAACGACATTGTGGGTCTGGAGTTAGGAACCACATTGTGGGTCTGGAGTTAGGAACCACATTGTGGGTCTGGAGTTAGGAACGACATTGTGGGTCTGGAGTTAGGAACCACATTGTGGGTCTGGAGTTAGGAACGACATTGTGGGTCTGGAGTTAGGAACCACATTGTGGGTCTGGAGCTAGGAACCACATTGTGGGTCTGGAGTTAGGAACGACATTGTGGGTCTGGAGTTAGGAACCACATTGTGGGTCTGGAGTTAGGAACCACATTGTGGGTCTGGAGTTAGGAACCACATTGTGGGTCTGGAGTTAGGAACCACATTGTGGGTCTGGAGTTAGGAACCACATTGTCTTGACTGTTGTTGCAGCTCCCATCCACACATACATCCTGGGAGCAGCCAGCCAGGAGACCCTCTGCTTCTTCCCCAGCGCTGATGGCTGTGAGCTGGCTGACAACATCACATACCTTGGTAAGAGTAGACTCTGACCTCTAACCCTGACCTGAGTAGACTCTGACCTCTAACCCTGACCCTGAGTAGACTCTGACCTCTAACCCTGAGTAGACTCTGACCTCTAACCCTGACCTTGAGTAGACTCTGACCTCTAACCCTGACCCTGAGTAGACTCTGACCTCTAACCCTGAGTAGACTCTGACCTCTAACCCTGAGTAGACTCTGACCTCTAACCCTGACCCTGAGTAGACTCTGACCTCTAACCCTGACCTTGAGTAGACTCTGACCTCTAACCCTGACCCTGAGTAGACTCTGACCTCTAACCCTGAGTAGACTCTGACCTCTAACCCTGAGTAGACTCTGACCTCTAACCCTGAGTAGACTCTGACCTCTAACCCTGACCCTGAGTAGACTCTGACCTCTAACCCTGAGTAGACTCTGACCTCTAACCCTGACCTGAGTAGACTCTGACCTCTAACCCTGAGTAGACTCTGACCTCTAACCCTGACCCTGAGTAGACTCTGACCTCTAACCCTGACCCTGAGTAGACTCTGACCTCTAACCCTGACCCTGAGTAGACTCTGACCTTATTTTTTATTTATTTTTTATTTTTTTTGGTCATTTAGCAGACGCTCTTATCCAGAGCGACTTACAGGAGCAATTAGGGTTAAGTGCCTTGCTCAAGGGCACATCGACAGATTTTTCACCTAGTCGGCTCGGGGATTAGAACCAGCGACCTTTCGGTTACTGGCACAACGCTCTTACCCACTAAGCTACCTGCCGCCCCTGAGTAGACTCTGACCTCTAACCCTGACCCTGAGTAGACTCTGACCTCTAACCCTGAGTAGACTCTGACCTCTAACCCTGACCTGAGTAGACTCTGACCTCTAACCCTGAGTAGACTCTGACCTCTAACCCTGACCCTGAGTAGCCTCTGACCTCTAACCCTGACCCAGAGTAGACTCTGACCCCTGACCCTGACCCTGAGTAGACTCTGACCTCTAACCCTGACCCTGAGTAGACTCTGACCTCTAACCCTGACCCTGAGTAGACTCTGACCTTTAACCCTGACCCTGAGTAGACTCTGACCTCTAACCCTGAGTAGACTCTGACCTCTAACCCTGACCCTGAGTAGACTCTGACCTCTAACCCTGACCCTGAGTAGACTCTGACCTCTAACCCTGAGTAGACTCTGACCTCTAACCCTGACCCTGAGTAGACTCTGACCTCTAACCCTGAGTAGACTCTGACCTCTAACCCTGACCCTGAGTAGACTCTGACCTCTAACCCTGAGTAGACTCTGACCTCTAACCCTGAGTAGACTCTGACCTCTAACCCGACCCTGAGTAACCGGACTCTAAACCCTGAGTAGCTCTGCTCTAATTAGACTACTCTAACCCTG